CAGCCAGGAGAGATTGTATTTGGAGATGGCTGTTCACAGCTGTGCCGCTGTGCTGGGAATTACACTTTAGAGTGTGTCGATAACTCCTGTGACCCCACTGAAGAGTGCCGAGATGTTAACGGTGTGCCAGGCTGTTACCCTAAAGGTACTAACTTCTTCAGGATTCTAAGAGACTTCAGTCCAAAGACAGATTGAGTTTAAAAATGCCTCCAATAGGAGACGCATACCCTGGGACTTATGGGCCACTTCCACTCTTATAGCTGTGCAGGAGTGCTTTAACTGCTGTTAACTACATTTAGATATGATTACAAAATTTAGACGATATAATGACAAAATAAAAATGTTGGCAATATTTACATTAAGTTTAGCGTTTCTTTACATCTCACTGAGGTTACTTATGTCTCTGTAGATTAAATACCATGGTTTGGGAATTACTATAAAACGCTCTTGTAGTTTCGCATATATGCACTGAAATAAAACAAACAAGACATTAGAATAACGAGATGTTTTCTTTTGTTTTTTTCCCATAGGTACATCAACTTGCATAGCCTCTGGGGATCCTCATTACACCACCTTTGACAAACGCAAATACAACTTCATGGGCAACTGCAGCTACTTAATGTCTGCACCCTGCAATGACACATCTTTACCCTACTTTGAAGTCCATGCTGACAATGAAAATCGATACAACAGGCCGACCATTTCATATGTGAAGGCTGTACATGTATATGTACGCATGGTGAAAATCTCCATTCTAAAGGGTGGCACTGTACAGGTAAGAAATTAGGCTAAGACCTGCAGACCTAATGCAGAAACCCAAAGAACAGATAGAAACTTCCCTTGAAACAAATCAGCCATGAGCAAGGTGACAGTGGAAAGAACATCCTCTCTCTCAATAGAAAAAAAAACCTCTGCCAGAAGCAGAACCAGTAAGGGTGATGTGGAATTCTGTATGTATAAAGGGAATAGAACCGGCCTTTCCATCTGTTCTGACCTCAGGTGACCTGTGATAATATTTTGGTGTGCAGAGTTCGGTTCTGGGTTCAGACTTGCTCAGGCTGGATGATACTAGCATGTAGGAATTGTTAGTGCTGCGGCTTCCAAAATTTCCATTTGGTGATTCTCTACAACTATGTTGGGAGGCTGTTTGCCTGTCTCCCTGATATGAACTAGCAACCTGTTCCTCTCTCGATCACCAGGAGTGGCCTTTTATAGGACAGAGGAGATGTGGCCAATGGTTGAATTCATGGAAAAATGCTGTTTAGTCTCTGAAACAAAATCTCCACCCGCCTTATATATAATAACCAACTGAATAATGCGTGAGCAGTTAGAGTCCATCATGATTTCCATGTCTGTTTTCCCCAAAGGTGAATGGGACCAATGTCAATCTACCAGTGACTCCAGTCTCAGGAGTTTCTGTGTTCAAGTCAGGAAAGCATTACACTGTGTCCATGGACTTTGGAGTAACTGTTCGTTATGATGGGAACCACTTCATGGACATCAAAGTGATCAAAGAGTGAGTGAGAAGGAAACATCTAGTGCTGCCTTTACAGACACAACACATACCATTAGTGGGCATTTGGACAGCAGTGCTGCTAACAAATGATGGGACCATGGACAGGCTTCATCACTGATACTCTGCCCTCACATGCAGTCCCATCACACCTCTAACTTGCTCTCTTGTGTCCTGCAGCTATCAGAACACACTATGTGGGCTGTGTGGAGACTATAATGGAAAAGCTAACGATGAGTTCCGTAAGCCGGATGGAGCCTTGACAAACAACCCCAATGACTTTGGACATAGCTGGAACACTGACCCAGAGTGAGTACTGCACAGATCCAGATGGAAGCTAACTCTTCCAAAAGCTCCATGTCAATGCTAAAGAATGACACACATACTTTGTGACTACATATATCATCAGTAATGTATGCAGGACCGGTCAGAGGGCTATCTTATGAAGTCTGTTAGCTTAAACTTGGTTATTTTTGCTCATCCCAGTAATGTGTTTGTCCTTCTATATTCATTATGACTGCTCATGAACTCAGAGCTTCCCACACTAAACCAATGTGCACGTGTTCCACCTTTTGATCACGGCGGCCAAGTGTAACTTGATCTCTGTGCTGGACAGGTGTAATAAGAAACCCAACACCACCATCCCTGGATGTGAGGAGCCCGACAGGGAGCTGTATGAGAGCTCTGGATACTGTGGAATCCTGCTGGACAAAAAGGGTCCCTTTGCCGTGTGCCACCCCAAAATCAACCCTAACGTATGTACACATGGATTCATGTGTGGAACCAAATAAGTAGACACACACGTCTCACTGAATGAAGCAGCTCCCTCCTCTAATGTTCACTCAGTGTGTGTGTGAGCTCAGATGCAATAAAACAGTATATTGATGCTTTATGTACCAAGAGTATTAGAGATATTTAGAGATAAATCCATTCAGAGCCCTTGTCCTTGATTCCATTGGACCTTTTAAGAAATCACCCCTGTCACAGACCATAAGTATTCACTGATAACTTCAACTGATTTTGTGTTCCCAGAATCACTTCAGGGACTGCGTCTTTGACTTATGTGAGCTGGATGGAGCAAGACCCATTCTGTGTGAAGCCATCGAAGCCTATGTCAATGAATGTCAAGATCGCGGGGTCAACATTGGACCATGGAGGAATGAAACGTTTTGTCGTGAGTGCTGAGACTTGGATTTGTTGAATTAGTTAGGGTTCAAATGGAGCATTGAGAAGACTTATTTTGTTTTAGCTTGTGTCCAGCAGCAGTCCCGTCATCTTGTGATGTTCTTATCCAAGAAGCAGCAAAGACAGATTTGAGTTCTTAGCAGCCGTCTGATGGCTCTGATGGCTGGTTCAGGACATAGCACCATAGGAGCGATATCGCTCATGTACTAGCCTCGCTTAAAGCATGAGCTGGGAGAAAAGGTGTCCAGCACAGCTCTTCTCATGTAGGAAGCTGTATCACTGGCATGCATGGCACCTTGATCATAAGCCTCTTCTGAAAGGCACGTTCGAGGTCCCCCAGTCGACACAAACTGGGGAGGAGATCAGAGGTGTGAGTTCATTCTGCCAGCCAGCAGACAAAAGCAGAAGACCTGCCTGGCTCTGGTGCCTGATGCATGTCGGCCGGACATGCTGTGTAGCAAAGACAGCTGTCTGCTCTTGGCCTTTGAGCTGACTGCACACATCTCCATTCAGAAAGGGTACGTGGGGCAATCCTCATGCACAGAGGCATTTTCTGCATCATCATATTTGCATGGTTCTGAAGAGTTTTGAGGCTCGTTACTGTACAATCTCCTCAACAAAATGATGAAAATGTAGCCATTTTATGTACAGCTCACATAGAAAAAGGCATAAAAACAGAGTCCCTATTAAAAAGTATTGGCAGGAATGACTGGCTCAGAATTCTTTTAGTGCCTATACAGAAATCTGTGCAGGAATCCACAATCCTGATGTGCTACAACTCAGTCCAGCTGTTCCAGACCCATCACTTACCTCGGTCTGTTTTCTCCTGCTTAGCACTGAGCTGTCCCCCCAACAGCCACTATGAGTCCTGTGCAGACCCCTGTCAGGAGACGTGCTCTGGAAAGCCTTCCTCCTGTGGCGGGCCCTGCTCTGAGGGCTGTGTGTGTGATCCGGACTATGTCTTAAGTGCTGGAAAATGTGTGAAGAAGGATTCCTGTGGATGCACACACACCAACGGCCAGTATTATGAGGTACAGTAGTGTGGGCCTGATCCCTACTGGGGAAATGTTTTGTGCTTTGTGTGGCTCTGGTCAGATCACTATCACAGAAGAGTAGTTATGCTTTCAATTCGTGTCCAGATTCAGTTTCCTCTGAAAAGATAGAATCAGGCCTGTGTGTGAGTGTGTGCACGCATAGCACCAAGTAGTACTGCAATACTAATAGTACTATTCTCAAATTCCGTTTCAAGACTGTTGAAAGGAGTATTTCTATATGTTTCTCTCTATGTGCATGCTGGGAAACTGCATGCAGCAAGAATGTGAGAGAAACTTACTTACTTCACTGTGTGTTTTTCAGCCTGGGGATGAATTTTATGTGGAGAACTGTATGCTCAAGTGTAAGTGTAACGCCCCGTTTGTTACCTGTGAGGCCTCTGACTGCCCTCCGATGCATGAGTGCAAACTTCAGGATGGAGAGTTGGGCTGCTATCCCAGTGGTAAGTAAGCACCAGCTGAAAGTTCCACCTTACCAGCGTCCCTTCCACTCTTTCTGTGGGATGGCTCCTAAAGCCTGAGATACATTGTCCTGTAAAGAGACTGAGTCAAAAACCACCACCCCTAAAACCATGCTGTCAGATAGGCTTAGGGTGGAGGAGTCACACATCCACCTGTGGGACTCACTGTGGAAAGGTAGTATTTGTGGCGGTAGAGCGAGCCCTGGTTGGTGGGTTCTCTCCCTGCTCCCCCAAATAACATGTGGAAGTGTCCATGGGCAACACACAGAACCCCATGGTGCTTCCAGGCTGTCCTTCAGTGTGCAAAGGTGTGGTAGAGGGAGATTCCTGATGGTTGGGACTTTCTGAAACCCACCGCATCTCCATGCCTCCTGCACATGTTGGTGTCCCACTCACATCAAAGCTGATGACTCACTTCCTTTGGATCATTAGGCCACTAAAACCACTCCTGCTTACCAACACGATATGGTGTGTTGAAGATGAAGTGAGGATAGAGTAAGCTACACAGCTAAAGGGAATTATCCCTTTGCTGACAAATTGTCACTTGTGATGGGTTGATGCCTTCATTTTTTTTTAGTCTTTGCTTATGTTGTTGAGAAACCAGATATGGAATTTTGTTAAGTTTAATAAGTGAGCCTGTCTCAGGGGACACTGCTGTTTCTGTACGGGTGACCATCAAACCCTTTTGAGTGGTCCAGTATGTAATAAGCATTATGTGAATCAGTCTGGAAACATGAGAGCTCTTGGAATATATTGTTATTTTAGGGACTGAACACAGCATTTACCCATGTTGTCGTATGTACTGCTATTGGCTCTGAGTCAAGTCATAACTGGACCAGGGGGACGTTTATTTGGCTCCATTCGGTTCTGTGGCCAGCAGACATGGAGACGTGCTTAGATCTTTCACTTGTTCGCACAAAGCTCAGCCATCTGTTGCCTTCTCTCTCAGGCTCCCAGGACTGTGTGGTTTCTGGGGATCCACACTACAACACATTTGACAAGAGGTTTTACAGCTTCATGGGACCGTGCACCTACACACTGGCCAGGACATGCAGGAATACCACAGGTACCATCATCTGTCGTGGTTCATATCTCGATATGATTCAGCTTTCACACCAATTTGGTTATGAGCTGTGGTTTTAAAAAATGTACAATCAAACTACAGCAGAAAAAGACAAGACATCTCATCAGATAAGCTGAGTTGAACAGAATGTATTGAAGGGCTCCCTGTGCAGGTCCCTGGTTCTCTGTGGAGGGGAAGAATGAGGAGAGAGGTGTGTCCGGTGTGTCCTACCTGAGGAAACTCTACATCACCGTTAACGGGGTCACTGTCACCATGATGAAGGCCAGGAGAACTCTGGTCAGAATTTTCCCCTTTGCTGTGCATTTCTTCATAAACATAGAACGCTTTCATCGTGTGTGTGAGCACGCATTGACCTGTCAGGGTTCTTTTCACTATCTTTAATGGGAATGTGTCCTCCTGCCCCTGCAGGTGAAGGGAGTGCGTGTGGCCCTGCCTCACTCCCCATCTCCTCTCATGTCGCTCAGTCTTTCTGGTCAGTACGTCACCTTGCAGACAACCTTTGGCTTACTGGTGCGTTGGGATGGAAACCATCATGCACAGATAACAGTCCCTAGGTTGGTATAAAATCCTTTTATATGTACTGGGAGTGCCAAAGAATGCCAGATGTCGTATAGAAGTGTGTTTTTGAATGTTTCCTGATTGTTGTTGAAACCTGATGTGTATGAATATTGCATACAACGTTGCATTCCATCTTTAAGACAAAACGTGTAGAATATTTAGCTTAGTGACTAAAAACAGCATATGTTACAGTCAGTGTCTGAATGCCTGAAGATGACCTGGCTTTGTGAATGTCTGGATAAAGATAGAATAAAAACTCCACATCTCTCCATAGAAGCTATGAATCATCTTGCACATGCAGCCAAGATGTAGGGACCAGAATCTGGAGTAAAACTGAACTGTTTGCAGTCTGAGATGAATGTATTTACGGTGCTTTCTACCGTATGTCATGAACCCGCATGAGAAATAAGCCAGGAATGTGCACACATTTGACAAATTCCCATAGATGTCCAACCAGTCCAACCCACATGCACAGCAGTGAAGGAGGATAAAAAGTTGCTACCTGGTCTGGTCCTTTTCAGCCTAATCCTCCTGTCTTTCTTCATCCAGCTCCTACCATGATCAGATGTGCGGCCTCTGTGGCGACTACAATGGGAACCCAAGCGATGACTTCACTAAACCAGATGGCAATCTAGCAGGAAATGTAAACGACTTTGGAAACAGCTGGCAGACAGCAGAGGACGAGGATGATTCGTGAGTTTATACAAATGTATACAAATTCATGTCAGATAGTTAGGGTCAGTGTCAGTCAAATAATGACACAATTACTATCAGCTTCTTTTAAGCAGGTGACTAAGCTGTCATTTTCTAGGGTGTACTAAACCAAACGGTGTGCTAATTAAATCTAATTCAACCCTGGTCTATGTAGGTGTGTCTCAGACTCTAAGCCGGAGCCAGAGTGTGACCCTGCTCTAGAGGCTGAGGTGGTAAAACCAGACAAATGTGGCAAAATCAAAGACCCCGCTGGACCCTTCAGGTGAGCAAATAAGGCTTTTTCAAATCAACAGGTGTGTATTCCCCTGGTAGAGGGGTCCTCAGACCATCACTGAGGACACACACACACAAAACATTTCATATTATTCTCACTCTGTTGGCTTCCTCTGCTAAGAAACTCATTTCAAATCCTTCATTTGGCTCTGTGTCTGCGAGCACAATTGGAGAAAGCCTCCATTGCCCTCGGTGACATCACAATGGAACTTAAAGCTTTCAATTCAGTGATGGTGGTCAGAGGAATGAGTGTCCTGGACTCTCTGTCTTCCTTTCTCCAGTGAAAATCTGTAGTCCATTGAACATAAACACGTGTTTATTTCCCTGCCCTGCTCAGCGTGCCAGACATAGTCAAACAGCACACCTCCTGTCGGGTTTGTCTGCTGAAAGGGTTTCCTGATGCTTTTACCACATCCTCACGCAGAAAGAAAGCCCCGTTCCTGAGCAGTCTCAGCACTTGTTTATCTGGCTCAGGGGGCATATTCTAGATGGTTGACATCAGATAGAGAAAGGCGTGGTGGGGAGGTGTTTGTGAGCAGCTTTAGAGATTAGATATTTACCTCCTATCTTTGCCAGCGGAGTCATAAAGTCTGCACAGACTGGATGTAACATTTTAAAACATGTGGCTAAAGGTTTCTTGGAAACAGAATTTGAACACATAAGCTCTGCTATCTTTACTGTCATCGGGTGGCTCCGTTACAGCCTGAGTCAGGAATAATAAGAATGAACTCTGCCAGCGTGTGATACCACACTGGATTAGCAGAAGCACACAAATTCGTACTCACAGAGAAGTGTTTTCGTCTACAGCAGAGGGGACTTTTTCCCCTGTAAATCACAGGTAATTTTACTGGTGTCCTTTTGTGGATTTAAAGAGTCCCTTTTCGTTGGGTAAGATCGAGTTATTTGCTAGTTGGACTGGTTGAAAGACACTCAGCAAATATCCACGAAAATGTGCGTCAATCTCCAATAACAGATTATCATTGTGATTATGTACAATCTCATGTCTTTCCTGAGTGAGAGAACATTCAGGAGATGGTTTTGTCAGATGAGGCTGTGGCTCTAAAGTCCAGCTTTTATCAGAGCAGAGCAACCGACTATAAATTCTTCAAGTGAGCTGGCATGTAGCCTGAATAGGACCATTTCTAGTCCCAGTGTCTGAACAGAGAATTAACCACAGCAGCTTTATTTGGAATATCAAATTATTCTGTCAACGATACAGACAGAAAAGAAAAGACAGAAAAGCAGTAAGCCTCCAAGTCCATTTAAAAAGTCTGGTTTTGGTCAGTGTATTTTTTTCTTTTGCTGCTACCACGTGCACTCGCTATAATATCCAAAGGCCACAGGGCAATCACATGTAGCCTTAGGACTGCATTCCATTCCATTTGATAAAACCGTTTGGCCTGTTGAATTCATTAAGGGTGAAATGAGTTGTCTGTGTGGTTGTGTAGAAACATTAGCGGCTCCTTGGGGGCAGAGGAAAGTCACAATGACTGTGCTGTCACCCCCCCCCCCATCTTCTTCTAGGGCTGGTGAATGGTCAGATAGTCAGGGTTCTTGAAAAATAGCTCTTCCTTAATAGCTGGACATGGTTTGGGATTGCCAAACTCTAAAATGTGTTGAAGAAAAACAAAAATGGGTGTCAAAACATCCATCTGGAGAGTCTGACTTTATGACAAGGGAAGATGGCACAGAGGTCTTTCAAAGTACTGCACTGGAAAACATTCCAGCCCATCCGGAGTAACAATCTCTCTCCATATAATTGTTGATGTAGGATATGATCTTCTTTTATTTGCCATCCACATGTCCACCTTTTTGGAAGTGGGTTGGGAAATGTTTGTGCTTTAGTCAAATGAACCCGTAAATGTGATTAGATGGCTGAACAGTGAGTGCCTCCTTCTCCAGACCCTCCTCCTCCTAAACGGAGTGTTTCCTTTCTGCAGGGAGTGCATCAGTGTGGTGGACCCCACCCCATTCTTCCAGAGTTGTGTGTTTGACATGTGCCAGTTCTTCGGGCAGCAGCAGGTGCTGTGTGACCAGCTCCAGGCCTACACAGACGCATGCCAGCGCGCTGGAGCCAAAGTCCACCAGTGGAGGGCTCCAGACTTCTGCCGTGAGTTCTCCACAGAGCACTGTCATCCTTTTTATCCAGAACTGTCGCTCTCAGGGAAGTAACAAGCATCAATAAATCCCTCTAAATGTAGTCACTGAGTTTTTTTAAATACAGACGCAGAGGAAGAGTATTGATGATCAAATTGGCCTTTAGGTCACTTATAGAGTAAAGATCTGTTTCAAACTGCTGTAAATCAGATGCACTGTAAATCTCTGGGACAAGTGTTAGTAATTGCCATCCGAATACCCACAACACAATGCTAATCTCATCAGGCTAATCTTCATCACTCCTTCTCGTCTCCCATGGCTTTGTTCCTGGATGCAGCCTTGGCCTGCCCCCCCAACAGCTCCTACTCCCTGTGTGCCAGTTCCTGCCCTGAAACCTGTGTGGGAGGGGCGGGACAGCCCGGCTGTGAGGACGTCTGCGTGGAGGGCTGTGAATGTAACCCGGGCTTCGTTCTCAGTGATGACAAATGCGTGCCACTGAGAGACTGTGGTTGTGTGGACCCCAGTGGAAGCTACCATCCTGTGAGTGGAAACACAGCAAAGTCCTTCCAGTCCTGTTTCATTTGTGTTGACACTACAAAAGCCCATGCACACCAGATAGTTTAGATTTTAAACACCGTCTCAAAATCAGATAGTCCACACATGCTGAGGCAGCATTTAGCAGCTATGCTACAAACAAGCTGCATGCTCAGAAGCATGACGGGTTTTTGATTCTTCTTCTTTGGAAAGAAACATGCGGTGCATGCAGTGACCTGGGGTAAACTCCAAAAACAGAGATATCACATAAAAGTCCTGACTATATCTTTTCCTGCCCAGCTTCCAGTGTCTTCTGGTTGTTTAGCGTCGGTGTTGTGTGTTACAGGTGGGTGATGACTGGTACGTACAGGGGTGTGAGGAGAGGTGTGAGTGTCTCAGTGGAGGGCTGATCCACTGTCAGAACACCAGCTGTAAGTCAACGACTGAGAGCTGCCAGCTGCAAGATGGCCAATACGGATGCCGTCCCCTGGGTATGCCCCAAAAAACAATACTCTCACATTCTATGAAGCAGACCGAGGGTCTGACAAACCAATTAAGATTTGATACAATTGAGGAATAGAGCTGAAGGGTAGATAGCAATGTAAAGTTAAAGCTGTAAAATGTGTCTCTTTCTCAGGAAACGGCATCTGTTCAGTGTCTGGAGATCCTCACTACACCACCTTTGACAAACACACCCACCACTACATGGGAGCATGCTCCTACACCCTAACCAAGCCCTGCAACGTCTCCTCTGACCTGCCATACTTCACCGTGGACACCCAGAATGAGCACAGAGGCAGTAATAGGAAGGTTTCCTATGTCAGAGCTGTGGTGATCAACGTAAACAATGCGACTATTATCCTTGGCAAGGGCCGCAAAGTCCAGGTTGGTTTCTGCTTGTAGTTCAGACCAGGCACCTCGGTGTGAGATTCCACCGACGGGTGCTGCTGATCTCAGTCTAAATGCAGGAAGTGAGAGCTCTGATTCATTTCTTCAGGTTAACGGGGCAGCTGTCCTCCCTCCTGTCAGCTCCATCAGTGGAGTGAAGATTTATTTGAGTGGAAAGTTTGTAGTTGTGGAGACGTCCTTTGGTCTGCGGGTACGTTTTGATGGGAACCACCATGCAGATGTCAAGGTGCCAACTTCCTACAATGGGCTGCTCTGTGGCATGTGTGGTAAGAACCATGTTGATGCTTTAACTGTGCCCCCCCCCCAGGGTTCTCTATCTTTATCATTAACTCAGGCCTCGCAGTGTGTGGAGGGCCATCTTCACAGTGCAGTGACCGCTGTATCTCCTATCCCGCAGGAAATTTCAATGCAAACCAAAATGACGATAACTTGAAACCAGACGGTACAGCAGCTGCTAACAGCAACGAGCTGGGAGACAGCTGGCTGGTCCCTGACCCCCGGCCTGAGTGAGTCCCATCACACAAGAGCGCAGAACAACGGCCTCAGTGCTTCCTGTCTGACCGCCTGCTGCTCTGGCTCTCTCTTCTCTCACTTCTCTGGACTTTATTTATGTTTTTTAGTGTCAGATATTTCTATGATAACAGACTCAAAACCTCTAAGCCTCTAAGCCGTGTTTCACTGACAGTGCATGCAGATTTAGGAAGATGCAAACCCAAGAGCTGAGGAGGCATAGTCAGCAAAGCACTTTTCCTCCTCTACTGAGGAAATTCCCTTTGGCTTTTCTCAAACATTTCCTCTTTCTCCTTCAGCCAAAAATGTCTGCTGTCATGTTACAGTTATGGAAGAGGGATGACTCATGTTGCTCCATTCTAATGATGCGTCCTCTTTTCAGCTGTACCAATGGTGGAGGGCAGGAGGATTGTGATGAAAAGGTGGAGGAGGAGGCCAAGAAGCCCACCAGCTGTGGAATAATCTCTGATATCAATGGTTCGATTAGACACACACCCTCACACACATTACAGTGGGTTGAGGCAGTTACAATGAGGAGGCCACGTCCCTTTAACTCACACAAACATGATGTGCACGTCCTGAGACTGCAGGAACTGGCTTTTAAAGCCCTTCATCAAAGCCAGTCGCAGCAGCTGTGCACGTCTTCTCATGATCCATGACGCAGCATTGTGTATTGGTTCCATCTGTCTGAATCCACAAAATGCTTTATTCCCTGTGCTCTAAAACCCCCATCTGTGCAGTGTTCTGGCCCATCCTACGTAGAGCAGCAACGCCTTCAAGATCAAATCAAATCATGATAAAAGAATTTTTTGCCTTTCCAAAGCTTTCACAGCAGGAAAATCCTAAGAAGGGGTTTTAATGCAGCTAGAGTTCAGGAGGCAATAAGCTGCATAAAGTAGGATTTCAGGAGAAACCTGAGCCTGAAAACATCAACCAGGTCCACAGGTCTGACACCACCGCCACATCAGCTGAAAAACTGATAAGATTAACAGTCTCCAGGGGGCCAAATACCAAACCTCTCTGTGTAATGTCATGGATCATCAAAGTTGAAAAATGAAGAAATGTGTCAAAACTCGTTAGAAGGGTTAGTGTGGATGGAGAAAGAGTGCATGAGTGTGTCACAGCTGTTTTGGAGCCATGACATCATAATCATCCCGCTGTTTCTGAGTCTTCATTGTTAAAAACAAAGTCTGTTTCCAGCATATGAAGAAGGCCAGTTTTCAGTGTGGGCTTGTTGGTGGATGCTGTCGTGGAGGGACATAGAAAACAAAAGATAACAGAACATTAGAAGCCATAAAACAATGTGTACATTGATGTTAGGAATGAATACAATGTGTCATTTTCTTTGATTCTTGACTCTAATTTAAAAAAATGAGGTCTCAAACTAAAATTCTCAAACTAAAACTCCCAAAATTCCCAAGAGCTGCTCATACTGTTCATGTTCTACATGTTTAGAGTAAGAAGTTTAGAGTAAGTGTGTTCATTTCAATGTTTTCAAAGGTTTTAGGATCATAGGTTGTTACCAGCGCTGACAGGTGAAATGGCCCTCATATCTATCTATCTATCTTTGATGTCATCCTCAGGAATCTTTAGGCCCTGCCACTCTGCTGTTCCCCCTGAGAGCTACTTTGGAAACTGTGTGTATGACATGTGTGCCACTGGAGGCCAGACGGTGGCGCTGTGCCAGGCCATTGAGAGCTACGCTGACATGTGTGCTGCTGCCGGGGTCCCCGTCCCCTGGAGGAACAACACCTTCTGCCGTGAGTCCGCGTGCATGTGTGCAGATTTCCACAACACAACCCCGTCCCTGTGACAGGAGGACTGGCTGTGCACAGGTGGACCCGGAAGAGGCTGCCTGTTTAGATGCCTGTTGCCTTTTAGCTATAAGCTCTGTGTGAGACTGATTTTTTTCCATTTCATTTTCTGGTGTTTTTCCGTTTTTGTGTTGCATATGTTATACACACCTACACATTGTTTGAGGTTCTGCAGCAGCGTGTTTTAGTCACTGCCTACATTTTCCTTCACATTACGTTACCCATGATGCATGCCACACTGCACCAAGACACACCAGCACCCGTTTTCTCTCTCTAACCAACTTAGTGGGTGTATTTAGTGACTTCAGACCCATCCAGTGACTCTTTTCCATAAAAGCAACTGACAACAAGTCAGGCGTTAAGGGCTACTTCTGGGGTCAAAAAGTCGTATGGGTTTTCTTAACCAGCAGCTGGAGCTGCCCAGGGCCCCTCCTCTGTCCCAAAGCACTCAGAGATAGCCCTGTTGTCCCAGGTGTTATCATACACTGGGAAGGAACTCTTTACATATCATCTCTAAAGTTGGCAGTGGGTGGAAATGAACAGGAATGAAATGGCCTTGATGAAACTGACTAAAAAAGAGAGATGGCGAACGGAGACATTGTACTTCACAACCTAAAACTTGTGTTTCTAAGTGCTAATCTGCTCCCTATTCAGCCCTGAAGTGCCCCCCCGGCAGTCAGTACAGCCCCTGTGGCCCCGCCTGCCCACAGCCCAGCTGTCAGGACCCTGCAGGTCCTGGGGGATCCTGTGATCAGCCCTGTGTGGAGGGTTGTGTCTGTAACCCGGGCCTGATCCTCAGTGGAGACAAATGTGTCCCGCTCAGTGAGTGTGGATGCACCGATGAAGACGGACAGTACAGGCCTGTAGGTATACGTGATGGAAAACCTCCCCTGATTTTTAACACGGCTTAGAAGAAGCCTGAAAAGGTTTGGTGTGTTGTGTGTAGGTTGGAGACAGCTGGTTCACGGAGGAGGACTGCTCGGAGCGCTGTAAATGCCTGGGGAACCACAACGTCACCTGTGAGCCGTGGCAGTGCAGCCCTGCACAGGAGTGCAAAGTGCTGGAGGGAGTTCTGGACTGTCACTCTACAGGTAAGCTGAACAAAAGGCTGCGGCCACACCCACGTCTGTGCCACCTTTAACACAGTACCTTCCTGTGCTCAGGAAATGGAGTGTGCCACGTGGCTGGAGACCCGCATTACTACACCTTTGATGGTGTAATGCACACATTCATGGGTACCTGCACATACACGCTGGTGGAGGTAAGAGATCTGCCCCCACCTCACTTCTGAACATGATAAGACTTTCTGTTCCTTCTTCTATTCAGCGTGACGTGCCAAATTCCACATTATCCATCTCAGAACCCTCAAGATTGCCTTGAGCACTATTTAAAAGCACTGGATATGCAGCATTGCCTTCATAATAGGAGAAACGCCGATTCAGAGTGAAAGGACTGGGTTGGTCAGCCAAACAGCTGCACTCCCTAAAGGAAAAGGCTGTTGCTGCTGTCAGAAATGACTCTTATTGATAGATGATCCACTAAAACATCCAGGGAGCTGGACAGAACATGGAGTGCAGCCACATCTGTGCAGCACCCCCTGAGATAGGAAATAATCTCACATTTCCACAAGAGTAACGTCTTTTAAACTCCCGTTTTCTCTACATTTTGCTCATCCACATTTCAGATCCTCATGCAGCACTTCTTTGAGCTCTTAAAAGCTCAATCGAACACTTTGGCATGGTTTTATGTTCACAATATGTGCTAGAGCTCTCATTCCAAGAGCATCCCAAACATGTGCACAGTGTTGTGTAGCACTGCACAGAAATGCTCAACATGTTGTTTCCAGGGCTACAGCAGTAGTGTGCTGCCAAACACACATCTGAGAGCAATTAGACAGGCCACTAAACAGCTGGCTTATTGTCTAACTTGAAATGTTGAACTTTGTAGCAGTAAGAACTTTACTGTGTTCTACCCGCTTTCAAAGTCTTTCTGTAAATCTTTCAGGTGTGTAATGCCACTGGGGTCACTACCTTCAAAATAGTGGCTAAAAATGAGGAGCGTGGTCAACCAGAGGCCAGCTATGTCCGCTCTGTCAAGGTCTACCTGCCTCACAACACCACGGTTGAGCTGCTGAAGGGCCGCAGAGTCCTGGTACGGAACAGTGTCTGGGTGCTGGAGGTTCAGGAACAAGGAGAGATGGAGCAACTGTATGACTGTATTCTGACCTTTCTGTAGCTGAACGGGCGGCGGGTGCGCACCCCCCTTTCCATCGACTTGGTTGGTGCCAAAGTGATAAGCAGCGGATCCTACAGCCTGCTGGACACAAACTTTGGCCTGCAGGTGAAGTTTGATGGAGTCCATCACCTGGAGATCACTGTTCCTGGAGGATACTTTAACAAGGTAGAAGGAAACAAGACCATGTTTCCCAACATTTAGTTTTCCGTGATGAGGGCGTGTCGGATGAGGCTGGATCTGTCTGTGGTTTCATGGCATGGATCTGAAGAAGCTTAATCGGGTTCATCTGCATCCACAATGTCTTAACCTTGTTCCTGGTTCTTTAGTTGTGTGGCATGTGTGGGAACTACAACCACAACAGCTCTGATGACAACCTGATGCCCAACAAGAGACCAGCCAAGGATGTGATTGAACTGGGAAACAGCTGGAAATCAGAGGGGGACAGTGATCCTGGGTCAGTGCATCATGTTCACTGTGATTGTTTGTTTGAACATGTCTGAGCGTATTTCTTCCAGCTGAAGTTATTGCTCTCCTGAGGTGTCCTGGGGTAGTCAGATTACTGCTGTGGTTCTAAGCGTCTTTGCTGGCTGACTGAGGCCTACTGTTCTTTCCAGCTGTCAGCCTGACACCCGCCCGGACATCCACCCGAACTGCACGGCAGAGGAGGAGGGGCTGTTTGAAGCCCAGTGTGCCCAGGTCTTCCTCTCCGACCGCTTCCAGCCCTGCCACTCTCTGGTGCCCCCCGAGGCTTTCCTGGGTAACTGCATCTACGACATGTGTGAGTACGACGGGATGCAGGCCACGCTGTGCGACAACGTGGAGGCCTACGCTCAGGCCTGTCAGAGTGCAGGAGTCTCAGTCCGCTGGAGAAACAGCAGCTTCTGCCGTGAGTCGCCCCCCCGCCCCCCCGCCCCCCCGCAGCCTGACAGAGAGACAGTGCTCTCACACCTGCTCTCTCCCGCCCGCAGCCCTGCCCTGCCCTCCCAACAGCCACTACTCGGACTGCACCGCCCCATGCCCCCCCACCTGCTCCGACCTGTTCCCCATATTCTGCCACCTGCCCCCAACCACCTGCATAGAGGGCTGCCAGTGTGAGGCGGGCCACGTGCTGAGCGACGGCCGCTGCGTTCCCCTGGACAGGTGTGGCTGTGTGGACTCAGACGGAGAGTACCATGACGTGAGTGTGCACACGTTCTGCTGCTAACCCAGGGAGGTTTTATTGATTAGAGTAGTACGAGGTGACTTTGAGCTGAGTGTCGGCGGCGTTTCGGTAGGAAAGTCCACTGTCGACAGAAAGAGTCCGGCAGCAGCCCCAGAAGAGGGGAGCTGCTCAGAACCAGCCTCAGTCCCCCTCCACCTCTGAGCCCTGTATGACTGTGTGTGTGTGTGTGTGTGTTCAGGTGGGAGACTCCTGGCTGACGGATAAATGTGTGGAGTCGTGCACCTGCAACCCAGGTGGTCAGATCACCTGTGAGAACCACAGCTGTAACCCCAACTCAGTGTGTGCTCTGGACAAGTACGGAGACCTCTACTGCCAGCCCACCAGTGAGTCAGCGCGCCCTGCCTCTCAGAGGTGAACATGTCCCAAAAACATTTGTGATGTCATCTTTCTGCCCCTTCTGTCACCCTAGAGTTTGACCGCTGTAGCATCTCTGGGGACCCTCATTACCGAACATTTGATGGCTTCAGCCATCATTTCCAGGGACCCTACACGTATGTCCTGGCTCAGGGCCACAACCTGCAGAACTCCCAGGAACCCTTGGTGGTGAGGGGGAAGAACATCAGACGTGGAGGCAACCGGAGGGTGTCGTTCCTGGACCAGATCTACACTGATGTCTACGGTGTTAATGTCCGCTTCCTGCAGAACAGAGTTGTGCTGGTGAGTGGAGAGCCTCTGAGAAAGGCTACGGTTAGCGTGTGCCTGTTTCCTCCAGAACAACAGCACGTTGCCATCATACTGTATCTCCTTCAGGTGAATGGAGAACAGGTAACACCCCCTCTCAGCCCAGTGGATGGTTTAACCATCACAATGAACTCCAAGGAGGTGCAGCTGACTACCAACTTTGGACTGACTGTACGATTTGATGGCAAAAGTCGAGGAGGTAACCCTTCTGTCCTCGCCAACTGTTCTGTTGGTTTGTGGGGGAATCTGCTCACTTCTGCTCACATCTGCCCACTTCTCTCTGCTGGCTGTTTTGCAGAGATCGTACTGCCCAGCACCTACAGACACTCTGTCCGAGGCCTGTGTGGGAACTACGATGGCCTCACCAGAAACGAGTACATGAAACCCGATGGAAGCGTGGTCAGGAACCTGAACGAGTTTGGAGAAAGCTGGAGAGTCAGTGACCGACAGGGGGATGGGCTGAAGGTCTCTGGCCTTCCCCTCTCTGTCCATATCCACAGGTGGGGTCACACAGATTGTCCGTCACTATTCCGTCTTCCGCTCCAAGCTAAGGCACAAAAGCAGTGCTGCACCCTGGGGTCACCAGGGGGGTTCACACCCGCAGTCGGGGGTCCAGCGGAGGTTTCTCAGGCCTCAGCTTGTGCCCTACCAGCGTTTGACTAGGGACCTGCCCCATTTATCCATGCCCGTCCAGAGGCTTACTCTGAAGGTGGCCTTCTTTCTCCTCTCTCCTGTGTACCTGGGGGAGGCTGAGACTGTCCTGCCAAGCCTCTGCACTGACCTCCACAGGCAGCCACCGGACTTTATTTGAAGCCTTGCTTCACTTTTGAAGCAGGTTTAACTTTTATTAAGGATAGCGCATCTTCCAGTACTTTTTAAGTGCCTCTAGCAAGCAGGATCCAACAGAGTGGTTTCAGATCACTGGGTATTAGTTCAGAGTGTGAAAATATTTAGAATTTAGTCAGATAAACCTCCAAAAATTGGAAATAACAAGAAATCTGCTTTCCAAAGGCGTCCATGGTCTTCACAGACAGGAAGACCTCTCCTCAGGTGAAACAGTTCATCCATCAGATAATTCAAACCTTTGAGAAGAGGGGTCGGCTGGAGCCCTGAACCTTAGACTCACACACCCAGCTGACTGACAGGGCCTTTGCTGGAACCCTCACCTGCTGGGGGGCGTGGTGTATAAACTGAACCCCGTTAGGGAGTGGAGAGAGGAGGCGGTGCGATCAGCAGGATGCATAGGCACCTGCCTAAAGCTCACACCACTCCACCACTGAAGCCCTGCCAAACAGGGGATCATCTGCATGGAACGCCACCGTCCGCCTCCACGTGTCTGAGTGTCCTCTCTCTGTGTGTCCAGGAGGGAGACAGAGGAGGATCCTGATTCAGGATTCGAGACGTCGGACTGCTCTCAGTCTCAGCTCACTGACTACAACAGGGTGACAAAGTGTGGAGCCCTGTCTGACCCAGCGGGGCCTTTCAGTGCCTGTCATGACCTCATACCACCCAAGACCTACCAGGAGTGAGTAGACTGCGTGCGCGTGTGGCAGCGTGTGTGTGCGGCCAGGGCCTTTGCTGATGTCCTTTTGTGTTGCAGAGACTGTGTGTTTGACCTGTGTGCGGAGCAGGGCAGTGAGCTGCTGCGCTGTGCCAGCTATGAGGCCTACGCCGCCGCCTGCCAGGACGCTGGCGTCCCTCTCGGGTCCTGGAGGCAGCAGCTGGACTGTGGTAAGTTGATGTCACAGTTCACTCTGGTGGACGGAGTAGGACACAAAGCCGTTTGACCGCATCCTGAAGACCCTGACCCATCTGAGCGGTCTGCGTCTGTCCGCCAGCCTTCCAGTGTGAAGCCAACAGCAGCTACTCGTCCTGCATGACCCCCTGCCCCTCGTCCTGCGCTGACCTGGCCGCCCCCTCTGAGTGTGGCGGCGCGGCCTGTGTGGAGGGCTGCCAGTGTGCGGCCGGCTTCGTCATGAGCCAGGGCGCCTGCGTGCCCTACACGCAGTGCGGCTGCACCTTCCTCAGCAGATACTACCCTGTGAGCGGCCTCAGCACTGCACCCACATGGAAACGTGTGTGTGTGTGGCGGTGTGAGCTCATGTCCGGCCTCCTCCCTCCACCCCACAGCTGAAGGAGACATTTGTAACCGAAGACTGCTCCCAGACCTGTGAGTGCACCAGCACCGGTGCTGTGTGCCAGCCCAAGACCTGCCAGGAGGACCACGTGTGCACCATCTACAACTTCAAACGGGACTGCTACAGAGGTGTGTGTGTGTGTGTGTGTGTTCTTCATGGGTCAGGACATCATCTGATGGGTGTTGAAGCTGAGAGAGGCTTCCTGTCCGTGTCTGTTGTAGCACTGTAAAGTGCAGAATGAGCTCATAAGATAAAAAGGCTGTCTTCATGTGAGGGGTGTGATGGAGGCTGGACAGGGTCTCTGAGGTGTTGTTGTGTTGCAGCGAGCCCCTGTCTCAGTACACCCTGTCTGAACGGAGGAACGTGCCAGGAGACCAGCAACAGCTCCTTCACCTGTCGGTGCGCGGCGGGCTTTGAAGGCGAGCGCTGTGAGACGGAGGTCACACAGACCGGAGGCCTGGGTACGCACCGCTCTGCTGACCACCCAGCCCAACAACTACAGCCTTACACCACAGCTGCCTTAGACAGCTGCAGGGAACGCTTGGGCTGTGGAATGAAGTTTACACATTAGCATCTCTGGCTTTGGTCATCAGAGGCTTCACTGCAGGTGTGGTTGTTGCTCCCTACAGAAACAAAGTGGATCATCCTGATCGCGGTCCTGGTCTCAGTTGCTGTCGTCACTGTTGTGATCACCATTGTGTGTGTCTGCAAACGCAAAGCCAGGTCAGAGTCAACCGGTGTGAGTAGAGATACAGGAGCTAAGAGAGCTTGCATTACCTGTATGAAACGGAAAATCAGTTCAGTTTTAATTCTTAATGAGTCCACCTGAACCGTCTGCTCTGGGTTTGTTCTCTCCACAGGAAACACAAGTCGGAGGAGGGGAAACTTAGCCTGAAGTCAAGTAAGAATGCTTCATGAATAAAGCATTACATTACCTATCTGATACCTATGTTTCACCCCCCCCACTCTGCCAGGATTCTAAGTGAGCCGAGTCAAGCTGAGCAGTGGGTGCAGGCTTCTGATTGGCCGGGCAGTATCATGGCTGGATTTATGAAAGCCACTCTTTCATGAGAAGCTCGCCTATTTTAAAACACAGCGACAACAAACGTGGGACTGTTTTGTGATCATCAGTTTTGTCAATGCCTAATACACACAGCTGAGTCACTGTGGGTTCTGTTGTAACAAACTCAAACTAAAGTGAGCAGAGTGGGGATGAGTAGGCTGCTGGGGCAGTGTGCTGACAACCAGCAGCTCACAGAGTAGGACCTCTGCCGTTGGCCTCCTGGTTTTTTTATCATTATTCTTTTTGGGGGGGCAACACTTGCCAGAGGCAACACTACGTTTTCCTCCCATTCAAAATGGGTCTGCATAATAATATTTAAAAAGCCCAATCTGAGTATATTTACAAAAGCTCCAAGTTAGGTCTTTTCATGCTTCCATTTTTCATTCTGGATTTAGCTCAGTTTGATTAGTTAGGTTGTGTTTATTGTCTTTTCTGAAAGATGTGCTCCATTTTGACTCTTTAACTCTAATAACAGAACTGCTTTCTCCTGTAGGTGTTCCATATGAAAACATAGATGAACCTTCAAGACCTGAAAAAGTGACCCGGCTGTGACCTTAGCCTGGACGTACCGCCATTCTTCTCGTGCCCTACATGTTCCTGTTTTAACTTATGTTTTTGAAGATGTCATTTTTGACTGATGTGAATGTTTCACTGAAATGAACCGTGTATGTATTTAATAAATTAAATGCATTTTAAAAAGAGAGGGTGTGTGTCTTTGTTAAAACACAAACCAGGCAGCAGATACAGTGAAGTGGGAAACTGTTTTCTACAATGTTTGGGACAGTGTTTCTGGCAGATAAAATCACCTGGACAGACTGGGCAGCTGCTGGTCTCATTTCCTGCCTCTCAGGACCAGCAGAAGCTACCAGGCTCTATCAAATTCCAGTCTGTCCATCAGACCAAATTCCAGCTCCACAGTGTGTTTTCAGTTTTCACAATGCTGTGCTTGAATTCATACCATCTACATACCTGCTCCCTCCCAGGGGAGGAGACCTCTGAGGGCCTACTTGAGAGCCACCGTGTAGGAACATAGATGCAATTATCACACAAGCAAACAGAGCTAACAAATCACTATTGCATGTATTTTCAATTCTAGACTCAAGCTTTTTGTTAAATAATGAAATCAAAACATCTTACTTATTGTATATTTTGTCCTCTTCTCTGGCAATTCTTTTTAAATAATGTGGCATGTACCTGGACTCTGGCATGTGAGTAAATGACATGTCAGCTCAGATCATTGCAGCTTCAGGTGGAAATGAAAAGAGCCCCTGCTGTCTCACAGTCAAGCAGAAACACCTGTGGAGTTATACAAACGTCACTTTTATTACAATAAGTCCAAAAAGAAACAACTCCAACATCATCAGCACACATTTAGAGGAAGATCAGGACCACAGCACATGCTGCTCTCCAAATAGATTCTTGCTTTTCCAGCTCATCGCCATGTCGCATAACAGAGGAGCCATAAAGTACCTCCAGTAAAGATTCTAGGGAGCAAGAATAGAGAAGAAAGATGGAAATGTACACAGGAATGATGAATCCCCCTCAGTTACAGCTTATTTTCTCTGCAACTGCTATCTGACAGGTTTGGACACATGCAAAATACTCCTGGCAAAATGCTAACCCACTGTACAGAACAGGATCACCTATAGATACCAGCAGCTGGCCACAGCATGGGTCAACCAGAGCTAACCCCCCGTTGGTCTGCCCTCCACCAGCTTCTCAGAGGCGGCGTGCCTCACGCAGGCTTTGGCTGCACCGGCTCTGTGCGTGTGGAGTTTGCATGTTCTCCCTGTGCATGTGTGGGTTCTCTCTCCCCCGCCATGCCCACAGGCGCTGTGTGTGTGTGTGTGTGTGTCTGGGTTGCAGCAGTGACCTCTCCATGGCGTGCCTCTTGCTGAATGGCAGCTGGACGAGGCTCCAGCGCTGCACAGACCCTGAATTGGAATACGCGTGGTATGGAAACTGAATGGAGGGACTTTTTTCAATGGGGTCGATGCTGTCATGCACGAGGTCTACAGTTAGGTAACACTAACTATGGCCACGCCTCCTGAGTGGCTCTGGCCCCCACTGCTTCAGCGGACACACTGTCCTCTGGGCCGGCCTAAAAAGAACAGATGACAGACCCCGGACAGGGTCCATATTATGAGGTGAAATAAACAGACAGTCGTGTGGGGGGGGGGGATCTGTCCCCTCCTGTTCTGCTGAGTGAGTGCAGAAATGGAACGACCACAGGAAGCACAGAACAAAGCTATTCAGACTG